TTTAGAAGTTGTACATCATTATAGGAAAAGATCAAGAGGTAGACAAGAAAGATCCTTCATTGATTAATTCATAGATGATACCAGAATCAGAAAAAACTGAGCAGAAATGGTTGACAATAAGTGTTCATTTGAAGATGATTAGATACATAAATGGATGAGAAGCAGTGATGCTTGATGGATTGCAGTTGTCTAAAATCAAAGGTACTATATAGCCTCTTATATCAGTCATAACATGCACGAAGTTGAGTAAGACCATAATTGTGTCTCAGGGAGATGGAGGGAACTGGTTACCAAGTAATTTATAGTGCTTTCATGAGTAGTCAGTATATGAGACTATGATAGTGATAATGATGAGTTGTCTTGTGGTGATTTGTCTTATGTTTCACTATAATGGATGGACATATCTTTCTGTAGACATTTTGTTTTCAAAGCAAGATTTCTTAATTGTTCTACTCCAATAACTCTAGCCTCATATGACTAAATCAGTTTCTGTGTGCTCAAATAAGAAATGGTAGAATCTAAATTTTCCATATGTGGAAGATTATTTTATTTAATACACAGTACTAAAGTGCAATCGTGTATTATTTTCACTCAAGTCTTCAAAATTTATCATTAAAAATATGACAGAGGTGACAATGAAAAAAACAAATCTTACTTAAAGTAATATTTGAAAAGAAACAAACATTTATTATAATAAAAAAAAGTAATTTCACATCAAACTGTACAAAATACAAAATAGGCCTTGCATAAAATTTTCCATAGGTACCTCAAAATGGTCAAGACAGAATAACAGTTCTGGTATAAGTTCAAATTTCTGTTTTCTTTTGGAAAACAACATTTCATGTAAATCAATGTTCCCTTTCTTTTAGAAACAATAAAAGAATTTTACTTACAAAGGAAAGGATTACCTATATTTCTAGTTTTCCAGTTTTTTGAGACATCTTGTTTTTGCAATAGATGAGAATCTTCTTCTTCTTCTTCTTCTTCTTCTTCTTCATGAAGCACTACATCCTATCAAACAGGGTGGTAGTAAAATGGCCCCATCAGGCAAAGAAGTTATCAATATAAGCACCAGTCAATTTATGAATTCAGGCTCAAACCTAACTGGAGCCAAATCTGGAGAGGGATAGGTTCCACCTAGCTTCATGTACTCTAGACATCCCAATATGGGGATGCATGACAACTATATACATTAAATTTATGAAATGTTTCAAAATATTTTTTAATACATATATATAATCAGGATTTGGTTATTGTTCAATCCAAAAAGTGTCAGCCAATTATAGCAATGATGAATTGTCCAATTGCAAAATTGATGCCACAACAAACTGACTGGCAATCAAATGACCTTGACCAATGGTTTGAACATTGTACACTTGTTTTCTTACATACTGATCTATTTACATACATACATACAGTAGTAGTAGTAGTAGTAGTAGTTCTTCTTCTTCTAGAAGAAGAATCTCAGATATAGCAGTCTATATGCCTGAGATGGTTGAACCCTTTCTGCATTTGCAGACAAAAAGTTTTCTTAGAGCTAGTTAGAAGCTTCAAACAGGATCAAACAAATATGTGAATATTTTATCCCTACTGGATGAAAATTCTAAAAATCTATCTTTAATTAAACTGTGAATTTTAGCAAATTTTAATTTGGTATGTTTTTAACAATATTAAATTAGTACCTCTATTTTACAAATAGATTTTTATTCATGTTTGTTTTATATATATCTACACACACACACACACACATGCACGCACACTTGTGCATGCGTGTGTGTATGTGTGTATGTATAAACAAACTAACTTGACATTTTTTTAAAGAAACTTTGTTAGTAACATTGTTAGATTAATTTTTATTATTTTTCGTTATATTTTTTTATTTTGTGAATTTTTATATTCGAATTATCTTAATTAAGTCTTACACAATTTTAATATTTTTGTCTTTATTATAAATAATTTAGTAAGATTAAACAGTTCATGTACAGTTTGATATAAACACTAATTTGACACTACTAAAAATTGAGACTATAACTCAAAATATTGTAAACTTGAATTTTTTTATATTAAGATCAATGTACAATCTAAATCTTTACAAAAGTTTCTATACTTAATTCTATACTGATATTGATAATATTGACTATCAATAACCATCCTTTCCATTTTTCTATAATTTTAGAATGAGGTCACAATGTAAACAATCATTTAACTATATATATATATATATATACATTTCACATTTCTGTATTATATAATCTTTGATACTCAAAATGAAAGCTCTTCTTTCATTAATTCCACATAAAGATTTTTAAATAATATTGTTTAGTTTGTTGGTTCCATAATAGGTTGTCTAGGGTGAGAGGAGTGTTATTTGGTAGTGTCTATCTCTTTTCCAAGAGACAGGTTGTAACTGTAGCAAAGAACAATCTCTAACTGATTGAGAAAAAAGTGAAAAAATTCTTGAAAGATTTGGCATCAAATTCTCCACATCAAAATTTAATCCATGATAATTTGCCAAATTCTCCAGTACAAAAATTTCTTGTCAGATATTTTATTAGTAAGATATTGAAAAATAAATATAGCGCACCGTTGGATCAAAATTCAATCATTTGCTGGGAAAACTGGAGTCACTTCCCCAGGGCACAGGCCTGGGCAATGGGATATGGAGGTTGTATATATATCCCAGATATTAAATATATATTTTCTCAGACATACCAACAAGATCCAAAGGAATACAAGGCATTATAGGAGATGCTGGAAAATTGTCAGTGTTGACAATCAATCACCTTTGGGGTTCCATACTGGGTTTTCTGTTTGGATTTACTTCCATAGCATTTTCCATGTTTGGAAGGCAAGGCAACAGAGGTTTAAAATCAGGGTTTTCTTTCCCCAAGATGCATTACTTTACTGGGTTATCAAATTCCATCTACCCAAAGTAGTTATGACAGGTGCCATATATATCTCCTATATATAATATATATATATATATATATATATATATATATATATATATATATATATATATATATATATATATATATATATATATATAGTTTTAAAACAAGGAAATGCATTGATTTTAATTTTAAAAGTCTCTAGGGCCCTTTCAGCCAACATCTCATCAGGAGACAATCGTTGGATCAGCAAAAGAATATTAACTATATATTGAAAAAAAGAGGGGAAACACACTAAAATAACAAACAAGTATATATACTTGTAACGAGGGGAGGGGAAATAATCGTGTAAATAAAAAGGACAGTTAAAATAAAATATCCCCCAACAGATTAAGAGACTTTACAAATTCTTTCTGCCGGCAGAGAGAAGGTTTCTTAATCCTATACAGACCGATTCCAAAATCTTCAAATGATTGTTGGAATCAGCTGTATGAATAATTTTAAACCACTCTTTTTTTAAACAACTTAATGAGGCTATATTCTCAATTAAATGTTGAGCAATAGCCAATTCCATATTCATGGGGGAAGATAGCATATTCTATCTATCTTACCAAGTCGATTTTGGAAGGTACGTGCTGATTAATTCTAGTTTCCAAATGCAACGTTGTACGCCCCCACATAACCAGCAGCACACTGGCAATTAAATTCATATACTAAATTACTCAATTTGAAGGGCAATACATTTGAAAAAAGACGGAATATAGACCTAGTTATAAAAAAAATGCTACGTAAAGCAACTGATGGGAAACAACCGGAAACCGTCTCTCTAACCTGCTTAATTATTTTATTTTAACTGTCCTCGCTAATTTATTTACGATTATTTCCCCTCCCTCGTTACAAGTATATATACTTGTTTGTTATTTTAGTGTGTTTCCCCTCTTTTTGCTCTTCATTATCGTTAATATTCTTTTTGCTGATCCAACGATTGTCTCCTGATGAGATGTTGGCTGAAAGGGCCCTAGAGACTTTTAAAATTAAAATCAATGCATTCCTTGTTTTTAAAACTATATATAAATTTTGTACCTCCAAACATTTGTTTATATATTTATAAATTATATTTGCTCTACTGTATTGAGCACTCTTTTAAGAATATTTTTTGGTTATTGGAATTTATTTTGTATAGACCAATCCTATACTTGTATATATATATATATATATATATAATAAAAATTAGCTTTAAGGTATATTATATTTATATAGTGTTCACTATATGGGATAGTGTACACATTTTGGTGACATTCTATTCATGCTTGAATGCAATCTTCACATCCTGAAGATTACAAAAATGCATGACACAGACTGTCGCCATTCGGTATTAAACTCTGCTTATTTACCAAACTTAGCTTAGTACAATGCAAAATCAAATGGGAATAAATAAGATTAGCTGGCTTATTTTTTTGGCCTTGAAAAGTAAACATTGGTACCAGAGGGAGATATGAAATTAGCTTACCAATAAGACTACCTTTAATCTTAATAATAAGTAAAAAAATAAATATTAACCTCTTTCAGTTATAAATAAATAGAAATATTTCAGTAAAATGCAAGTTTGATATTTTCTTTAGACAAATGAAAAATTACCAGGAAAACTTTTGGAAAAATATGTTTATATCTACCTCTAGACTGCAGACAAGCAAATTCTGATTGGCTAATGTAAGTCTCGTTGACATTATAAAAGAAAGATCTATCTATTTTCATTTTGGAGCGAATTATGTGGAGAGGCAGCCTGTTAACAGGTCGGGGTACCTGGCAGAACGGATCTGATGTTGCAATTCCAGAAATCCGTAAGGAAGCCAGGGTAACATCACTGATGACCTCTACCATTGCATTTTATAAATATATTTTAAGAATAATACACATAATTTTTCATTTTTTTAATGGGGCGTTTGTAATTAAACTATTCGAGGACAGTGAACCTTGTCATAACTATAGATGGGAGGGCATGGAATTACATTAAACGCATCAGCCAATCAGAGTATTGCCCACACTCAGAGCGACATCTGTGAGGAGAGTTCTCTGTGGCAGACATTTTAGCAGTTGGAATCACTCTCCATGAAAAGGTTTGGCTAACCCCCCCACAGCTTTCTTATTCATGTCTGTTTTTTTTTTCTCGTGACTTCTGAGTTCTGATGTTTCATTTGATATGCAGTGTTATATTTTATTAATACGTTTTATCTATTTATTTAAAATTAACTTTTTCCGCACAAAGTGTTGTTTTACTTAATATTTTTACGTATATTAAATCTTTGGTTATTGTTTTGCTTTTTTTACTTAATTTTCTTATTGGGTTGTACAACATAAAACATGCATAAGTGGAGTTTATTTTAGCTGACAGTTAATTTTTACTTAAAGCCTATTACTTAAATTATGTCTTAAATTATCATTTAAGTTACTTCTTCACTTAAAGTTTTGCAGTTGCAGGGAATTGTAATTTTACATATTGCGATGCAATACACATTTCCCTCGTTGTCATCCATTCGGCTAAATATCCAAGGGCAGATAACTACAGTTTACTGATTATGATTTTCAATTTTTATTAAAATGTTTGTAATTCCATTTGATGTTTTTCCTAGTTTTTGAAATGTAGAAGCTTTATCGATTTGATATTTTAGATACAATATTTAAATGACAGCTATGATCTTTTTTAATATTTGAAAATGATTAAAATATATTTATGGTACCTTAAAGCATATTATCGCATCCTTCTATTTTTAAATTATAGCTAGAACTTTGAAATTAAATATCTGAAGATTGATAAAAGTTCGAATCCTGTCAGAAGTTGTTTTTATTTCAGTAATCTGATAAAAGTAAAAATACAATTGTGAATAAAGAATTTAAATTAAATGAGGAAATTAAACAATCTATTTTATTTTTATTGTTTTTACGTATGTATTTTTTTAAAACCTAACAGAACACGGTGTTTCATTTATAATCTTTACAAAATAAGTAGACCTTTAAAAAATTTTTTTTTTCTTAGTCATGGGTAATTTTCTAAATTTTCTCTAAAAAATACCGATGAATAATCATATTTCGTTTAAATATAACAAGTTTAATAATATTTTTTTTTAATTAATTCAGACAATAATTTGGAAGTAATTTAATTATTTCTGAAACCTCATGCGACGAGGTGGGGGTGGGAAACGAACAAAAACAGTGCAATCAAGTATGAACGTGGCATTTTTCCCTCAATTCTTGTTTTATGTAATTTTGAAATTTCATTACTTTAACTTTTTTTAAAAAGTTAACTACAGTGTTTCTATGTAGCAAGGTTGCCATGGTAATTTTTTTGTGTTTTGGTATATGATTATTTAAAGCGGCTTTTAACATTTTAAAAATTAGTTTAATTTTTTGCTAGCACGTTAAATTAAATTCCGTCATAATTGATGCCATTCAACAGAATTTTCTTCCAAAATAAGTTTTTATGAAAATTCATTTGTTGAAAAATCGGCAACTTTAAACAAAAAGTTGATTAAAAATACTTGTAGCCAAAAATCCTTTTTTTTTTCTCACCCTCTTATTCTTCATAGGAATATGTCGATTACGTGTCAATTCCATTCGTGGTAAGAGAGCGGTCATCCGTAACTGAAGAAATCTAAATGTATCCCATTTTTATTTTAAAAGATTTTATAAAGAAAACTGCGGAATGTTTATTCAAATGAAAAAAAAAGCTAATTAAATAAAGTAATTACTTTTTTCTTTTTTTTTTTCTTTTTTTTTTCAACTGAAAGTTTACACTTCTGCTTAAATAAGGCACCCTCTTCTCTTCATGTAAAACTTCACAAACAAAGCAATATTTTAGTTTTATTTCCTGATTCAGGATAATTTTCTATATGACATTTTTAATTTCGGTTGTCAGTTTCTTGAGGTTGGTGAGCAAACTCATTAAAAACTAAAGGATTCATAAAACTAACTAATGTCTGCTAGTGTTACTGTTGGGATGTTGGCTTAAAAACAAAAAATATTTTCATATGAATTAAATAAATATATTGCTGAATATTATTAGAATTGATTAAATTAACTGATTTTTTTATCTTAATTTTTACCCCCGTGTTTTAGACTTTTCTAGTAGTCCCCACCAAAACCACCTTAACTTTTTTTTTTAGGTAAAAGAAGTTTTACATTTTAGACGAAATTTTTGTATCAGATTTTTCTCGTATAATTTTCTGAATGATACACTTATTACAATAAAATTTTTACAAGTTCCTGACATTTTTATTAATTTTATTTATCTGCAGTACCTAGATTTTAAAAGTGTTACTGTTCCCGGTTTTTTCTAAATCTCAAACCAAGAAAAACGGGAAATAACTCTCTAGTTTAATATCCTACATGAAAAGTAATTTTCAGCTACTTTCGAAGTAGATTTCTTTGAAATAAAAATCAATAGCATTTTCTTTTTTTTTTTTTTTTTTTTTTTTACATGTAGGAAAAAATCTGTTAAAAGAAAAAGGTAATCGTTTGAATTTCATATAACATATCCAGGTTTTTTGTTTTGTTGATGCAATTTTAAATGTTTCATTAACACAAAGGTATCTATTTAATTTCCAATAAAATATTTTCTGAAAAAAATTGAGATTTTTATACATGTGTGTTAAAACTTTTAACACACATTAAAGAAAGATCTACCTCCTGATTATTAATACATTTTCTGTTAAAATCACATTGAGGAGCGAATTATTTGGAGAGGTGACCTGTTAACAGGTCGGGGTACCTGGCAGAACAGATCTGATGTTGCAATACCCGAAATGTGTAATGAAGCCAGGGTAACATCGCTGATGACCTCTACTGTGGTATTTTATAAATGTATTTTAAAAATATTTGGTCTGGATTTTACAGTGACTGCTGAGAACAGTTCAGTTGACAGCTTGGGAAGATGACGTTTGTGGTTCGTGGGGTTAGCAGCCCCACAAGCACACTCTACAAGTACCCATAAATCAGCTTCTATAAATCTTACCTCCATGGGATCCTGAGAGAGAGGGGAAGGATGAGATCCCCACTAGGACAGAACCGATGTTAATGGCTGGCAATGTACAACAGATTACGAGTAAATGCCTATGCTGAAAGATATGTAAAAATCCATGAGGCCTCAAAATACACCAAGGTAGGATGCAATGCCTGGAGGGGTGGGGAAATGGATGCAACGTACAGTTTATAGCTCTGGGAAAACAGAGGATGAGCAAGGCCAAGAAGCACCCACAGTGCCCTAGATCTCCAAGCACCTGTTACTCATTCACCAAGTGTGGCATCCTGGAAGAGGATTAAATGGCTCCCAGATAACAAGGGGGAATGGCAGAAATTCGATAATGACATCAGATATTTTGCACATAGCTTTGAGTGAAAATTTAGACCAGCATTTTAAATTTATGACAATGATAATTGTAAGCATGACAGAAGAAAGGATTGGCTTTATTGAAACAAGACCCCAGGGAGATGCTTAGAATTTGAATAGGAGAGAACACAATATAAGAGATCTGAGGAAAGAAATGACACTCAGGAGGCAATTTAAATCTGCCAGTACTGAAGAAAGACATGTTCTTGCAGAGTTACGTGACATTCTGAGAAATAAACTGAAGAATTTATGCAGAGTGGAGTGGCACAGAAGGAGGAGAGAGTGAGGAAATGAGCCAGTTTCATATTAAATCCATTTGGTTTCGCTAGGTCTCACCTGGGAGATAAGAAGAGTGGCATATTAGAAACATCAGAAGAGAAGATTAACATTTATCTTCGTAACACCTTCTGTGACCAGCAAGGGAACAGGAATTGGGTCCAAATGTATTGTTGATCACCCAGGACCCCCCCCACACACACACACACACCAAGTATGAATTTAATACAGGGACTTCAACCTGGAAAGAAATTCAAGAAGTTGTCAGAGCTTTGAGATCTGCATCGTCACTGGGTCCTAGTGGAGTCCCTTACATCATTTACAAATGTTGCATGGGAATACTCCAATTTCTGTGGAAATTGTTATGGGTAATCTGGAGGAGAGGCAGGATTGCCGCACAATGGAGACAAGCTGACAGGATATGGATCCCTAAGGAAGAATCCTCAAGAGATTGAACAATTTTGTATCATCTCTCTTAACACCAAGTGCAAGATTGTCTTTGGAATATTGGCCAAGCATCTCTCTCTATACTGTCAATAATAGCTACATTGACTCATCAGTCCAGAAGGGAGACATTGCTGGAATCTCTGGCTGCCTGGAACACATAGGAGTACTGATGCAACTTCTGAGAGAAGCCATAAAAAACAAGGATGACTTAATGGTCTTATCATTAGACTTCAAAATCACTTATGGGTCAATTCCACACACACTCATGGGTGAAGCTTTAGAACGGCACCACATTCCTAGCATCATTGGCAATTTGATCATGGACTATTACAATAAATTTCAGGTGAGAGTAACATCAAGAAACACTTTGTCTGCATGTCACAGTCCTGAAAGAGGTATAATAACAGGCTGTACAATATCGGCAACTCTTTGCCTTAGCTATGAATATGATTGTCAAGGCTGCAGAGAGGGAGTGCTGTGGAGCCCAGTCAAGAGCTTACATGGATGACCTCACAGTCACAACAAATTCTGTAACAGGTGGCAAATGGCTCTTGAGGGGTTTTGAAAGGAACATGAACTTGGTTAGGATGAAATTCAAACCAGCTAAATCAAGGTCTTTAGTGATTTTAAAAAAGGCCAGATCACTAACAAATATAGATTTACTGTTGCAGAGACTAATATTCCAACACTCTCAGAGTAACCAATCAAGAGCTTAGGCAAGACTTTCAACAGTAGTTTGAAAGATACTGCCCATATCTGCCAGATTAGTGAAGACCTAGACACAGCCTTATTAAAAATTGATAAATCAGGCCTTCCAGGCTGATTTGGAACATGTGTAATTCAGCACTCATTATTACCCAGATTGCTTTCACCATATCCACTATATGAAATCCCAATCACTATGGTGGAAACTCTGGAGAGGAGAATAACAATGCGCCTGAAAATATGGGTTGGGTTACCTAGAAGTTTACGCAGTGCTGCATTGTATGGTAACACAAACACGCTAAATCT